TGATCATATAAAGTTCTACTCAAGTGCTGAACATGAGTCATAGGAAAATCTCTTATCCAGTCATTATTAAAGAGAATCCTATCAAGTCTTTGCCACATAGAGGTTCTACTTCAAGTAAAATCTCCACCAGTAAAACTAATATCATTTAAATTGTAATTAGAAATCATGTTATTGAAATCATCCATAGCATTGATATTAGGAGGGTTACACCCTATTCTTTTACTAGCATTAGAAATAATATTGAAGTCCCCACCCACACATTAACGACCATTAGAGCTAGGAGCAAAATCCCGATAAAAAATCCCGGAGAGGAAGCCGACCCAATCTAGTACAAGCGGCATACACAAAGGAAGTAATATAGTTAACATTAGAATAAAAAATTTGCACTTTAATAACTTGGGAAAAATAAAAAATAATATTGATGTTGAAATGACTTTTCCATAAAATCCAAATTCTATTAGAACAATTAGCAAACATCATGTTAAAACCCAAATTATAAGCAATACTAGTTATTTTATCAGCAGAAATAAAAGGTTCAAATAGAACCAACAATTGAATATTGTGCACACGGCATAAGTTCCTTACCCGGGTCCTACAATCAGACCCTCCAATACCCCTCATATTCCAAATAAGGAAATTAATCATTAGAACTTTTAGTGAAAGTTTGAGCTCTAGTAGAACAAGGCGTATCAGGTAAAGGAGCTTTACAATTTTTCTTTTTCTTCTTATTCACCTTAAAGGCTTCTTCCTCATCAATAGGTTTAGAGCCACTATCAAAAAGATCAGAAGAAGATGAAGTGTTAGGATCACCCCCTTTATCATTGTTATTAACATGAACCATAGAAATAGGGCCATAATTGTTTCTAGGGATGAATTCCTCTTCTTCACATTCCTCCACATTCTCTTTTTCATTATTTTCCACATTAATCAATAGAGAGGTATTCTCTTTATTTTGAAGAATATAATCAATAGAGACAAAAAAATTAGGAAGCTTACCACCTTCCTTAATACTTTCTCATTAGGAGAAGCTAGCTCTCTTATGTGTTATATTAGGACTATTATTCAAAACCCTCAAATTATTTGAATCATTAAGATTTTCATTACCAACCATCTCGGTGGGGGATTGGTTCTCGACCTGATTCAAAGGAATTAGATCCTCAATAATCTCATTTTTAGTATCTATATATTTAGTCACCTCCTTCCCCACCGAGTTATTGGATATTTTTTAGAGATCCGGATGTAATTTGAAGCAATTAGAAACTGCATGGCCATGAGTTTTACAATGATTACAAAAATCAAGAACTTTTTCAAACTCCACTTTTTGTAAGTAGCCAAAAGCTTTAGATCCGACCCGCACTTCCTTAGTATGTTTCTTAGTGATATCAACTTCAACTAAAATCCTAGCCACAAACGGACGGGTTCTAGAAGCAGTCGCTTGATCAGTTTGCAAGGGATGGCCGAAAATAGAACCAAGCGCATTTAAAACTTTGGCATTGAAAAAATGAAGTCCCAGGTTAGGAAAATATATCCAAATAGGTACAATGGGGGATTCTTCTCTAACATCAAATAAAGACGTCCAATTCAAAATACGCATTTGACAATTAAGGATAAAATACGATCTACGGGCAAACACATGGCTGTAATCTAAATCATTCGATAACTAAATCGCAACATGTTTCGAATCCATAAGACCAACTGAGTAAAAACCTGAGAGTTTAAGACTACCAAAAAAAGCACGTATGGAATCCAGATTTGGCCTTCGCAGACCAAATTTTCCAACCAGGGTAAATTGAAAAGGGGAAGCGAGTTTTAAAACTTCTTCATCCGAAAGAAAAATAGCCGGCACTCCATTAAATGTAGAATGAGTTAAAGAGGGAAGGGTATCACCTGCCGAAGAGCCAGAGAGAACCTCCTTAAAAGATCTTGACTGAGGAGAGGGAACCCCCAAATCCAAGCTAAAGAAACCTTTGTTTGTATCTTGAACCTGGGAGGCAACGTTCCACCAAGGCGTAGAGGATGAAGCCCTCGCCATAACTTCGGAAACCTAATAGAGCCAACTACCAAAACGAGCACCAGCACAAAAAGAGAAAGAAGAAAGTAAGAAATCACATGCGGGAAGGACGCGAAGGCGGGGAGATCATAGGAAGGAGGAGGAAACTCTAAAATCGCCCAAGACGACGCTTTGGGCGAGAGACACGAGGGATTATGTTTGGGATGATTTTCTTACTTCTTCTTAAAGTAGATTTCAAGTACAATAGTAAAATATTTTGTACTACAAAGCTACTTTAAGAAGCAGTAAGAAACCTGTCCCAAACAAACCCTTAAAGCATGTTTGTTGCTTCTTAAAGCAGGTTTTTAGTACAAAAAAAAGAAAATTTTGTGCCATATGCATTTTTTCTAGTGTGTAAAAAGGAAGAAGCGAACCATGCAGACGTTATTGATAAAAAAGAGTAAAGTTCAAATTAATCAAATCCATAAGTAATAATAATAATAAATCTTCAATGAATTAAAAATACTTGTTTTCAAATATAAACCGTAGACTAAAGTTTTGTTTCAGACGACTTATTTAGTGCTTATTAAAGCATCTTTCTAGTAAAAAAATAAATTTTTGTGCTAGAAAGCCGCTTTAAGAAACAATAAAAAAACGGTCTCAAACAAAGCATTAAGTAATTGAAATAAAGTACTATAATAAATTGCTCTACTAAATATTAGTAACCAAACCAACAACAGTTTGGCAATATTAAAAGTATTTCTAATGCAAATTCCAAAATGCTTTGAAAGGGATAAAATTTCTTGGAACAATTTCTTATAGAATTCTATATGAGGATATCAAAAAAAGTCTTTTAGGACCTTAATCTAGCTGCATTAAATTTTGGGCATGATCATATTTTGATTATTTTTTCAAATTAACAAGCTTTCAATAACATGTGATCGTTCCATATTTTAATATATGTATTTTCTTAAATAAGATAGTTAATAATAGAGTTTTCTTTCATGGTTTATACTAAAATAAGTCTCCATCTATGATACTTACAATCTTGCTTAATTTTAAAACGCATACTTTTTTTTATTTAAAAGATTACTAATTTTTTGTACTAATTCGCAATTCAATTTATATAATAAATTTCTAATAGGTGTTGCTGGTTTATTGCTTCTCTATTGGAGGTGGGCTGGTGCTTGTGATTTCAATTCTGTTGATGTTGGTGGTTTAAACTAAAGACTCAGGGAGAGCATATTGGTTATGTGAGATGTTTAGAGCTTTTCCGCTTGGCTTGCAGGCTGGTGCTGGGGTTTCACTTTAGTTGATATGGGGGCCTTAGTTGATCTCATCTGCTGATGTATATCTGTAATTTAGTTCTTATTTTTGTTGTTGATTGTTATTTTGCAGGTAGTATTGGTTGCTTCTTATATGATCCTAATGATTATTCGAGTTTTGGGCTATATTACTAATTCTTAAAGTATTCTTTTGGGTTATGGCTTCTTGCTTTCACTTTCCTTATTTATCTCGTAACTAGTGAGAGATCTTTGACTATTTAGATTATTTACTGTAGCTCATGTAGCAATAAGCAAGTTTATTCTCTCTTTGAAGGACTTGTAACATTTTGATTTGATGATATAAAATTTAACATTTCAAAGAAAAAAAAAAAAAAGAGTATCAAGTGGCTTAAAAGCCTGAGCTAAATAGGAAAGACGTATAGATCAATATTTAAAAATTATTTTGTTTGATACAATTTTCATACTTCTTTCTAAAGTTGTTTTCTAGTACAAATAATTTTTAAAAATAGTAAAAATACAATTACCAAAATCTGTCTCAAACGAATCCTAAGTTCATCCTTTTCGTTTTCAGAATATGTGGCTTCTTGATGACAGGTTCGAGAATATTGTGAAAAGTAATTGGGAAGCTCCTCTTTTTCCTGATAACAATGTGACGGGCATGAAGAGATTGTGGCTAGAGATCCCTTTAAGGATTTTGTAACTTTTCCCTATATTAACGCGTAAGCCCGTTGGTGGGTTTTAACTGAAAAAAAAAAAAAGGAAATTAATCAAAGAGGAGAAAAAATAGAGGTTTGTACATGCCTCTAACTGGTCTCCTCTCTCGCAGCCTATATGTGCTAATCGGTCATAAAGAGAGAGAGAGATGCCTTATTACACTAGTAAAATAATTTCATTTTTGGTGAAAGAGTAATTTTACTTTTAAAATTTTATTTTGTTTTCCACCAATGAAGAAGATTACGTACAAGTATATAATTTTAAGAATTTCCATGTCATGCAGTCAAAATTTTGTACAAGTATAGAATGATTTCTCTAGCTAAAATATACGATAACAGCTCGCCTCCTCTTCATCAATTGATATATTTCCATTTTATATATTACATGTCACAAATGCATATCATGTAAATAATATAAAATTTTATATTTTACATTTAACGTTCAATTTATTATTGTCTGATATATATGCTTTTAAAAAAAAATTGTATCTCTGCCATATACATATCTTTCTTGTGCTTCCATATTGCATTTTTAAACAAATACCTTCCCATTTAATATATTTACATAGTGAAGCAAAAGCTTTAAATGAATAATTTCATTGTTTTTTTGCATACATTTGCACAATCTGATAAAATCAACGGAAAATTAAAAAATAAAATAGATAAAAGTTACATATCATTAAAACATATACCCCTTTTATATTTATATTAATATCCACGGCCATCCATTAATAATACTAAACATAATGGAGGGTCGTGTGTGTCCAATTTCTTTTCTTAGAAATTATTGTCTTATATCCTTGTAGTATCTTCTTAGTATCCTTGTGTTCATGCGGATGCTTGTGTGTGTGTATCTTACACGGTTAAAAAAGTTAGCTCAAATTAATGCCACATATATATATTCTATAACAAAAGAAAGCATTCCATGCTGACTCCGTGAGCCAAGTGTCAACCTTTATCTCTCCTCTCACAAGACAAAGTCTTATACTGAGACCCACTCTCATCTTCTTCCTCCCCTCACAACCCACTGTTCTTTTTTTCTTTTTTTAATGTGAGGGGGTTTACCCCCATAAGAAAGAGAAAGAGAGAAGAAGACCTATAAAAACACAGCCAATCAATGTAAGGAATACTTGTAATTCATATGGCCTTCATGATTAATAAAATATAACACCTACTTCTATTTATATTATTATCTATACTTCTACTTCCACGGTTCAACCATTCATGTCACCAATATGCTTAGACTATTGTTCTTCTCAATCACCTCCTTCAACTTAGTCTTCCAACCTCTTGGAAACTAAGAAAAAGAAAGTGATGGATGAGGAAAAGGGGAAGGATGTGGTGGAGATTTATGATGAAGAAACTCTTGAGCTTAGGCTGCCGACGAAGCCGTTGGACCTCAACGAGGAAGTTAATGAAGAGAAAGAAAAGGAAGAGGAGGAAGATAAGGGAAGCTCAAGTGAAGTTATGGGAGAAAGCGACCATGGGAGTAGCAACGGTGAAGGAGGTAGAGGATCGAGTGAGAGCAAGGGGGATGAAGAGGGCAGAAGGGAGCAGTTGGGGCCAACGGTTAGACAATATGTCAGATCTAAAATGCCAAGATTGCGGTGGACGCCGGAGCTCCACCTATCCTTTGTTCATGCAGTTGAAAGGCTTGGAGGCCAAGAGAGTAATTCAATTCATCCTTCATTTTGTTTATTTGAAATTCATTCTTAAGTTTGTTTTTTTCTTAATTTTTTGTGTATTGTAATGTAGCTGGTGTTTTTGATAGCTGGCTTAGTTTCGTTTTCTTTGTTTTTTTGGCTAATTAAATTTAATGTTGCAGGAGCAACGCCAAAGTTGGTGCTTCAGATGATGAATGTGAGGGGGCTTAGTATTGCACATGTAAAGAGCCACTTGCAGGTAAAAGTAGAGTTGTGTAAGAATTAAGTGATGAAGTATTCTTTCTTTGCAGCTAAAATTAATAGAAAGGATGGCAAAAAATGAAAACTTCTGTTATATAGATATAAATTCCAATAAAGTTTAGCTCAGGATATCCACAGAAAGGTTTGGCTCAGCGTGTAAAGCTCCATGGACCTATTTTTGAGGGCTTTTGCTCCCAGGCGAAACTTCAAATATACTAACTGCTTATTATAACAATCTTCACGTAAATTCAAAAAGCATCACATAAAAAAGCTCATTATGTAAGAGATGTCTTCTCAACTTGGGAATTTTAAATGGTTTGCAGGGTTTTTTTTTTTCCTACAAGAAAAAAATATAATATCTAGCAAATTTATCGGGAACTGTCTGTTAGTTTGGGAAAATATGTTTTAATTTCTGTTTTCCTGCCTTATTAAAATGTGAAAACTTGTCTTCCATTTATCTAAATTTTAATAGTCATTTTCATCCCTTTTTAGATGTATAGAAGCAAAAAACTTGATGATTCTGGGCAAGAAAGATCCAACATTTCTTCAGGTATTCGACATTTCAGGCCTTCAGAATTATATTTATTTCACCCATCTACCTTGCAAAGTTTTCTAAGCGCAGTACCTAATTTATGTTAGAACACTATTAGTGCCAACCAACATCAAAAATTTAATCATAAAATTTATGCATTCAAAATAATTTTATAATGAGTGCTCTTTCTTCATACAGCATTGTCACCATTTGATGCTCATATGAGAAGAGATCGTTTCCATGAGATGTTTTATCAAAGACCTGGTTCATACCAGCCTTTCAGAATGGAGAGAGGGGGCTTCTTTCGAGCAGGAAACATTCATGAAGATGATTGGTTTTATAAGGTTTTGCAGAAATCTCAGTCCCAACAACCAATATCAGATTTCAAGAACACCAGCTTCAGGTAATATGCAATCAATCAAATTGGGATACATTTGATAAAGTTAAGTTATTGTTGTACAATATTAGAAAAGGTTTTCTAGTTTACTCTTAAATTATTTTATGAGTTTCTCGATAAGATTTACCTTAGGAAAAAAAAAAGTTTTCTCAACTAGTGTATTCTTATTTCATAAATTCAATGAGAAGTGCCCGTTCGAGTTAGAGATTTTTAAAACACATTTCTCGGAAAATTTATTAAAAGTAGAAAATTTATTAAAAGTATTTCTTAGAAAGTAAAGAAAGAGAAAATTTGTTATCTTATTTTTTAGAATTATTCGAACTATTAGAATCAACATAACAATTTTTTTTAGTTCTTGTTGATTAATTTTGCATGAATCTAACGTATTATTCATAACTCTTTTTCAATAATTTTCTTTAAGTTCACCCCTTTTGCATAAATAAATAGTTTTTATCGTTCTTGCACATGCAAAAACAATTTTTATATCTTTCTTTTAGCATTTTATAATCATTTCTCAATGAGCATTGATATAAATGATGAAATCTGTGACCTAAGTTTCTAATGAAATTAATATTATTATATTTTTTCTTATCAATAATGTTGTTGTGGAAAAATGCATCATTGACTTGCTAGTAAATTCAGACTTTTCAATCAAATTTCTTTTCAATTTTTCTGCCAATAAAATATTGTTCTTTCTCAATTTATACTTCTTTATTTTGTCTCCTTTTCATTATATACTTATAATTTTTTTTCAAACTCAACCAAACAATCAATTATTTTTTACAATGGAGAAAAATGGTTCCAGAAGAGAAAGCCTTCTTGATCTATTTTATATTCGTGGTTTATGTCATGAAAGTTCAACAATTAGTGGACCCTTTAATTAGTTCTCTAACTAAATTTCTGTTTCGCTTCTTCAGCAGAAACCAAGAATGGGTATTCAACCAGCATATAGCAGCAAGAGCCAACACAATCAAAGAACAAGACCATGCCAATGGATTATTACATGGTATGATCTTTAAGAAAGAAGGGAAGACAGCAGCTTCTCATTTATTTGATGTGAGGGATGTGCTCACAGTTAATGAGATATCAAGAAAACCTTACAAGCTCCAAGAGGAGAGGCAATGGCAACTGGGAAGGAGCACATATCACAATGAGAATTCGATTAGTTCTTCCATGAGCAATTCTAACTTTGGGAAGAGAGTAAATAACTACATCATTAACCAGTCTTCCCTTCGTGATCCTTTTGCCTTCAAATCTAGACAAGAGACTCAAAATTTTCAGTCTCCAATACACCAGGCTGAGGTAAGTCTGATCAGCTTATTCTCTAGGTTTCATTTGAAGCATATGTCACTAGTAAAATTCCAAAGCTAAAATTATATATTTTAAATGTTATGCGGCCAAAAATATTGATTAGTGATCTTTATTTTAAAAAGTATGTCAGAAATATATTACTTTGTAAATTTTTGTTATGTTCTAGCTACATTTTCTTATTTTATACTTATTAAATTTTTGTACTATTAATAACTATTTAAATTTAATAATTTTTTAAAATAAAAGCTATGATCATTCAAGTAATTAATTGTTATAATTATTAGAACAATAGGACGAACAATAATATCAAATGTGTGCCTAATGATATTTATGCATAATTTAAAAATATAATTAAAATTTAAGTACTATAGTTTTTGACTATTATGTTTAAATTTGAGTAGTAATCATATAAATTTTAAAAATAACTAAAAAATATGTTTAATTCACATTTTGTTTAGAAATTTGTGTTTGAAAAGAATTTATTTTTTATTATTTTTTAATGATATGTATAGGTTTTTTTTTTTTAAGAAAAGTGATTATCAATGGTGGACTAGAAGTTATAATCATAATTTTCATTTCTTCATGATAATAACAAGAAATTGAAATACCTAATTCTAAGTTTTGACTTATCGCCTTACATTTTTTCTGATTTAATCTAATTAGCAATTTGTCAATGCAGTTAAGAAAGCAAGAAGTTTTGGAAAGGGAGGAACCTCTAAGAGATACAAAGAGAACGCGGCTTATAAAAGAAGAAAACGAGAAGATGCCGGATTTGCAGCTAAGCTTGAGCACAAGCTCCATGGAAAATGGATTTGATGCCAAGAGAAGCTCTGAAACAGGAGTAGACAGTGAGCTCTCACTTTCTCTCACCCCAACTATTTCTACTGAAAATAAGAAGATCTTCAAAATGCAAGACAAAATAATGAACTCAGAGATCGATTTCTTCAAGCTGAGTAGCAGCAATAAATCAAACCTAAGGATAAGTACTTTAGATCTCACCATGTCAATCAATTAGGCATTGGAGTGAGATCTTTCAAGTACTTGCCTCATTGCCTTAATTAATTTTTAGGAAACTAATTATGTTTAGCTATGTAACCATGGAATACCATGTTCATGTTTGATGCATTTTAGAGGATAGTAGTAGCCTGATTAATATATGTTAAATGTCAAGGTTACTAAAATCATCTGAAATATGAGAGTTATGTAATGTCATCAGAACCATTAGGAAGTCATTTTGGAGACCTATAATGATAATGATTTAGCTTTCTCATTCATTTATGATATCTAGTTTTCAAATTCCAAGCTTTGAGAAGTTTATTATGTTTCTATCGTCCAAAAAAGTAATAGTTTTTTTTTAATTTGAACATTTTATTTTTTCCACATGCCTATTGCAATTAATGTTGAGGTTGTTCCCACTTTTCTCCCACAATGTGGTATATATGTTCTATAAATTTTCTTGTCAAATTGATAAGCACATACTTTTTCGATACCACATTAAAAAAGTAGGAATGAATTTCCCCATTTAAAAAGGAAGTGCTACATATTAGCTCAACAAGAATACTAAGCTTTCTTATTGAATTGAAATATATATATAAATGATATTGAATCTCCAGATATTCTTATTAAAACTTGATTTGAATTTTTTTTTTTAAACTCACAGCGGGGCCTACGCGTTAATATAAAAGAAAATTAGAAGGTCCTTAATAGAAACCTCCAGCTCACTAATCTTCATAAGAGCTACAAAATAAAACTAAAGAACTGGTGGTTCCTTATACTAATCGTTACAAAAATTCCTAATAACATTCTAAGTCTGCAAGGAGACAACATCCAAAAAAAAGAAAATCAAAAGATAATCATTAAGCACGTAATTCCGGCAAAAAATGTGGGTCGACCCATAACTACCAAAAAAGCCATGATCAGACGATGTCCCAGCAAAATCAAAACTCTAGCCATCAGACCAACAAAAGAAAAGCCTACAATACAAGAATAAAGTTGCAGATAGAAAGAAACCAGTAAAAAACAGGGTATAAAATCATAAAAGTTTTGTTTATTTTAACATAAAAACAATAAAAAATCATTTAAAATTTATTTAATATCTTTCTAAACAATAAACCCATCTCCACAATATTTTAAGATTTTTTTTCTCATATAGGGTTTTTTTATTGATTTTTTGCACTATGATGAAAATATATGTGTAAGCTAGTTAAGTAAAAAAGAATATGAAATGCTTCCAAATTTTGTTAAATTTTTTATAGGAAAATGACTTCTTGTACAGAATTAGTTATTATAATAACATCAAAAACTTGAAATGATTGATACATGACTTTAGGACTATTTTAAAATATCATATTCTTTTATTGTGACTTGACTACAATTGAGATTATAAAGTTCCTCTTCTACAATTATTATCTTTAAGAATGTTTTTCATAATTTGTTTTCATTTAGGTGAGCAAAGAAATTTAATTTGGTATAAATTAATATATTAATAAGTTTGAGCAATAGGCGAAAGGGGCAAAACCTCCCAATTAATCACTTTATCATGCCTATATTGGCACTCACTAATTTCGGAAGTCAGCTCTTTTTCCACATCTCTTTTATTTAGAATGCTTCATATTAGAAAAAAAAAATCTAAGAGAATAAAGTGGGCTAATTAAATTCTCCTCTCTTATAAGTTTCCTTTTGGGAACTTACTTTTATAATTTAATTATAAAATATTGGTATGTTGAGGTAGTTTTAACGGTTTTGAACGATCATTTTAGTTTTTTCATGATGAAGTGCATTATGAAGTCGTGTTCTTAGTTTTGTTTTATTTTTTTTTTAGTTTGAGGGGAAGAAATTCATAGAAGGGCATACGCATTAAATAAAAAAAATTACAAAGTCCTTAAAAAGATCTTCAACTCACTAATACTCTGAAGAGTTATAAAACAAATAAAAAGAAAACATTGACATTATCTTTAGATAGCTAAGACCCCCACGGCTTGGGTACCATTTTTCAGAACCTTGGTGCAATTTTTGTTCTTGTCAATGCCAATATATGACCGTGGTTTCTTGTTTACTTTTGCTTTTCAACCACTTCACGGATTTAGCTTGTAAATTGAAAGTGGTCTTTCATAATCCAATGAAGCAATCGAATTAGCTTTTTAAATTCAGATTTTTTTATCTAGTTTAATATGAAAATGGAGAATTAGTTTACGTTCTAAACTTGAAATAGAAATGAATTATCGTTTAGGTCAATAATATCATTTGCCTAGCTATATATGAAATGATTTGTATGAGAGCATAAAGGAATCTTCATTTTGCATTCATCGCTCTGTCGGTACAGATTTTCAAATTAAGAAGAAACATGTTCAAAATATAGTAATTTACAACATAAGATCGTGTATATAAACTCTAATTTAAGCTTTATCTGTTGACATGGCAGACCTGATTGAAGCAGAAAGTATTCCTTTTCTCCTTTCATATAAATAACTCTCAAACGGTGATTCCACATAATTGGTTAAGGCTAATAATGGCATCTGATTAATTATGATGTTAATTGGCTCACACCATATTATGAACAGAAAACTCTTCCTGATGACACAGAGCGTAGAACTCTGGCGAGTCATATATAAATTTTTTACTAGAAAGAGAAAAAGTTGAATCAGTAAACATAAATGGTGGTGGAGAAGATCGAAGAATCATTATTGCATTTTTTTTTAATTGACGAGGAACCGTCCGCTGTCACGTCAGGCTTCGCTGAGCGTGTTTGGCTTTCCGTAAATCCCGGCAGACTTACCGGGTCACCCACGCCACTGTACCCGGAGCCGGCGCTTTGGGGCCCCCACTGAAGGGGCGACTGCCGCTCGAGGGAATCAAACTTGGGATGGGGGTTCTCAACCGTGCACGCCGACCAACTGAGCAAAGCATCGGTGGGTTTTTATTGCATTCTTTAATCTGCTATTAGTTAAATATATTGACAACAATGATTTTACGAGGTCCAAAATAACTTGTAGCAAGATATGGAACTCTTGAAAGCTCTTGCATAAGAAATAAAAAAGACTAAGCCAAATTTCAAATGAATGGAGCCTAGCTAACAATGGTTCACATCTTAAAATGTCATATGCATCTTCCGAGTTATAATTAGTCCAACAAATAGCAGTAATAGTCAGACTGAATCTGATGTTGATCTCTTTCTAAACATATACACACAAAAAAAAATACTATAAATGGCCTTTTTTGTCCATGTTTGACTTTACAACACAGGACAATTGGTTAGAAAAATTCAACTGCAACATTTAGATTTTCAACCTATTTTAAGCAATAAATAGCCCGACAATGAATCAATAAGCAATAAAGATTAATTGACTCCAATACGTTTGGAGTGGCAAGAAGAAAATGCCGCATCGATTGTTACAAATTTGAATTATGATTAGATTTTGAAATTATTTTAATAAATATTAATTATAACACCTGTTTCTTAAGCTTACCTGTATTTAAAATAAATATATTAATTTATCTATCTCCGCTTGAATTATTTTAAATACTATGCAGAATGCTGATTATTTTTTCTCATATATAGTTATGTTGCTACATTTTATTTGAAAAAAAAAATTAAAATCTTTAGTATATATTAAAACTAGAAATAGTTTAATTAATTTTCTTTAAAAATATATAAATATCAAGCCAAAAGTAAGGCTATTTATCAATCTAGTAATGCTCACATGTTATCAGTGCACAGATATTGCTTTAGATCATGCATGTTTTCATAGCAAAGCTGCCGAGGAAGTGATCATAAAGGTTTGACCTTAGTTAAAACTTGTGGTGTGAAAGCCTCGAAAAAGAAATTGCTCACATTAATTCCATGCAAAAGTCCTCTTCTTCATCTTTACTGCAATTTGTTTTTTAGGTCAGACAGAGAATGGAATTGGTAGACGAAAGCATGAAGAGTCTAAAGCATGAAGATGGTAGCTCGGGCACCAGATGGAAGTATCATCTTTCTCAACCATAAGGTTAAAATCCTTTTTGATGCGCATGAGCAAGCAGCACGTGAGCAGCCCTTAATGCAATCTCAACAGGATTCTCCATTAATCACATGAAGGGATCATCATAAAGAAAAAGAAAGATAATAATGCAAAAGGAATTCTACAGCCACAATTTTCATCCAAGGGCAAAACATAGTTAAGGACGCTAAATCATCCAAGAGATAGAAAGCAAGACATTCACAGTGCGTGGTTAAAGCCATGACGTGGCCCAACTCAATCGGACAAACCAGCTGAAAATATGGGACAAAATTTGAGCTTCGATAGAGATGTCATTTAGGTTTAGGTCAGCTGGAAATGTTCAAATTTAATTTCGGCCCAAAGTGCTATTGGACTGGGTCATTAATTTGAAAATGAGTCTCTGAGCATTTTGATTTCAATTGAATGAATTATTTGTAGCACAAAGAAAAAAAAATTTGAAGTCTCGAGTGCAAGATGGAAAATAAATGGATTTATGCCTCTTTGTTTATGATATTTAGATGGCTCCACTTATTCACACCAATTAAGCTCATACCTGTACACCCGTGATTAACTGTGCAGGTACCCATTTGCAAGTGTCTAGCAGGCTACGACCGGTTCAAGCTAAAGGAGAATGCACTCCTTTCGAAAAGACTTACTTAGAAGTTGGAAGGATCTTAACACGAGCACGGCGGATCGGGACCAGCCACATTAGAGGAAGGCAACCTCAAAAGTTCCTCTCTAACCCAGACAAATCATTATTCATCTAATCAGAGCCAAGTCTCCCATGCGAGATACACAAAATAGCCAATGACAGACTTTGCCACTTCAAAGATCTGCCTAGCTTTCACATTCACTTGAAGACAACATTCATATGTTACTCACCCCTCTTACCATAACGAGGTGACTAAACCGGCCACCCATCTCATATATGCTCATCCTTTCGACAACATCTAGATGGCTCTCACCCCCTCTCATCTCAAAAAAGGAGATCACAAATTATAATTTGGTTTGCCCCCAACTCATCGTACTAACCTTCCAACCAGATCGGCACTAACAAATTATAATGAAAGATTGATAGGATAGCTACGTACTAGGACGTAATATGGTACTCTTTCAAACCCTATGAAAGAAGGGGGGGGGGGGGTGGAAAAGGGGGGTTGGAGGTGAACAGAAAAACCTCAGGAGAAATGCATTTAACAACACATAATATGATAAATGAACATAATGTTAATGTAGGGGTATATTTGAAACGACATGAAAACGTGATTCGAACTCGACCCAAAAATTTTGGGTTA